CCAGCATTATCACTGTTGTTCCATGGACTGACTGACAAGCGAACAGTAAAACTAAATGTGGCTATCATGCTTCTCTTAATATCATGCCATGTCTTCAAACAAGTGTTTAGTTTAATCATGTTCACCTTATGGAATGGATAATCATTTTGCCATTTAGTCAGTGGAAACAGGGCTCACCTTTGTCCCTCTAGAACTTCAAAATGCTTCTGATCTTATGCATCACTAGCATGAAAGTACAGTGCACTGCTGTCATATTACATAGCCATCTAGGTATGCAGGTATTCTAATAAATATTTTAGATACTGTGAGACAAGAACAAAACTACCAATATTACATATTGACATATGAATGTTATGGATTGAAATATTGAGGTATATTCCCAGTCCATTTCACTTTCAAATAGTTTAATGATAAATGTAAAGTGTAGCATATTTTATGTCTGCATGTTTTTTTCTCAGTTTGCCTTCTAGCTAACCTTTTATAAAAGGATATTTTGTCATTGGAATATCTTTTTATACTAGGATCAGGTTTATAAAAGAGGTCAGCGTTTGTTTAAGCTCCATAATGAATCCCCAGTTTTTCAAAACATTGTACACGTGTGGGGTGCAGACCGAAGTGCAGAGCTCTGCTGTAACTGAGAATGCTTTGTAGGAAGTATTCTATGTTGCAGCTACCCCCTGGAACAAACAGAAGCTAACTGTTGGTTCCAGGGGGGAGAGGAATCTTGCTGCTGGCTGGGAGCCTGCAGCTGGTTTCCCCTACCAAAGGCCCCTCCTCTCTCAGCCTGTCCCTGTTTCAGAATGAGAGGGTGGAAAGGGAGCAGAGGGAGCTCGCTCTTCTAGGGGTTCCCCAGCTGACTCTGGAGGGTGGGTGAGTTAGAGCCCCGCCTCCCCCCCAATACACCTGCCTTGCCCTCCAGTACGGGCTGAAAACCCCCTGACTAAACAACTCCCTTTGCTTCCTCTCCCCTCTCCCATTATGAAAACAGCTCGAGGCTGGAGGCCACACAAATGGAAGTTACAGAAGATGCTCTTTTTGAAACCTCTTCATCTAACCCTGCATGCAATGAGTGGTCAGATTTTCACCTGATTGGCCATTTTTGAAGCTGTCTGCAGCTGTGCACTTGTTTGGTCAGGGATATAAACTGCTTTCTGTGGCCAGATGAGGTAAAAATTGTCACCATTGGTGGCAGAATCACTTAAAAATCTTACTGAAAGTGTTGTGGTGGGACAGGTTGAGTACTGAAAATCTTTAAAAATCTAGCTCTTTACATGTGAAATAATCTCTTTTAGGAAATTTGGCCCAAGAATCCTGCTACTCAATATTTTGCCAGCAGGAAAGGGATAAAATCCCTTCAGTAACTGTTTTCAAAGGGGGCTCCAGGATATCACCAAACATTTTTTTTGATTGTTCCTTTAAAATATAGTAACAGACAAAAGTACTTGATGAGTTTCACCTGTTTGGTAGCTGTGTTGAAGACTTATTTATCAGTTGGGAAAGTTATGATTCAGAGAAGGTGTCAGGTCTTTCTTCCTACTTTGGGAGCACTATTTATATTACATTGGTAAAGCAGGTAATTGAAAAAGAGTTGAGGTTTAATTATTTTTTATAAAATCAAAGTATGCAGGGGGCTTTGTATTAAATATTTGATATACATGCAAATAATGAGTATTATTTATTAAAGGCCTGTCAGCAATCTGATATAGAATGACACTTCAGTTAATTAATGTGCCCAGATTTATAGTGGACATACAGTAGAGTCTTTCATGTACTTAGATGTATTGAACCATGACATTTAGCCTGTGTTTTATTTCTTTGCTGCCTATTTCCAAAGACAGACTTGACTACCAAACTAGCTTAGGTCATATAGGCTTGTTTTAATGACTGATGCCAGTTCTACAGCTGTGCTAGATAAGAATTTTGCTATATTTATAACAGTTTAGTGCACAAGATATTTTTCCAAATGTGGTGAGTTTTACTGTATCTTATATTATACATGATGCAAATACAAGATACACTTGCTATTGTAAGATTGTATCATCTTTGAAAAAGGTAATTTTTTTATTTCCTGCATGGCCCATTCTGGCTTGCAACAAGTAACTTGCATGTTTGTAACTACTGACTTGACTCTGCCTATAGTGTTTTTAGAATTTAGTAGTGTCTGCCACTTCACCTCAAGAGTAATCAAAGATTTCTTGCTCATGCCATTGGAATTTGCTTTGTGGTTGTCTGGAAATTGGACTTTTCCTTGACTAGCTAACAACTTTTTTTGCTGTAAAGTTTACTTTTTTTAGCTTACATCTATGGCTCTTGTCTGGTCTTTTTCTTATTTTCAGGTAGTAGCTCTCCATAGATTGTGGTCATAAATGCAAAAAGTGGTGCTGTATAATTCATAAAACATTAGCCTTGCTTCATAGCTTAGCTTTTTAATTGTTTAGAGACATCTATGTATATATTTTATGAATGAGAGTAATTTCTGGTTTCCTGCTTACAACTTGGTTCTCTCTGTGGGATCTTGCATTTACTTATTTAGGGTTTCCTTAATGAAGTAGGACTCAATCCAACTTCCACTTAAGTTACTTTCA